TTAGCTTAAAAAATAGGGGTCAGGTTACAATAATTCGCATAAAGCTGAAAATTGGCACGAATGTTGGGAACTCCATTATAAAAGAAATGTGAAAAGTCCCCATCGATCCCACATCTGCAAAAAAAGTTATACAAGGTCAAAGGTTGCGAAAATGGGTTTGTTTGCATTTTTCAGCCAAACGTAAAGTGACCAACTACAGAAAACCCAAAAACCAGGACATAAAGTTGGTGGATAATTACTAAATATTTATTTTACACAAACAAAAACAAATACTTCAAAAAAACATCAACAAGAAAATTTCATTATGAAACTATTAAATTAAAAAAAAAATTATTATAAAACACCTATTTGTTCATTTATTAAAATTAGATTTCTTTGAAGAATGAATTGCTTTTAAAAGATCTTCATTTTTTAAGATCCCCAAAAATTACGTACATGTATACTTTAGGTTGGTTTTTACTATAAGCATCAAACGCAACATTGTAACTAGTAACAAATTCTTCATTTGCGAAAAAACACATTCAAAAAATTGTTTGTTCCCGGAAGACACATACAGTACTCCACCAATATAATTATGTTGTCATATGTAAAATCGTTTTCTTTAAAATGTTTAAAAATCTCTACCCATCTATCTGAAAGGCTAACAGATTTGTTCTTCCATTCTTCGATTTTTTCTTCTGTTAGCTACATATCTCACCGAAAAACAAAATTCGTCAAACAGTTCCGTTTCAAGAATATTTATTTGGGGAAAGTTTTGATAAATAAATATAAATCGCAGAAGAGCTTACATCATCATCAAATTTAGGAATGTTTTCAACCAAAATCCATTTGAAATGTCCACTCCATTCACGAAGATAATCGCTACACGTTGAATAAAAACCGATTACAATGTTTTTAAAAACTTATTGATTTTATCATCTGTCTGTAACGAGTCAACCATATTTTTAATAGCAAATGGCAAAAATGCCATTCGGTCTTCTATTTGCATTTGAAGTTGCTTAGCAGAACATTAAAAAACATTACTTTTACTGGTTTTTTTCTTACCATTTTTTGACCAGGACAGCATCCACAAAAAAGAGTACTGTCCTGGATAAAACAGTACGGTTGGTCACCTTAGCCAAACGGTAAGTTTTATCATAAAAATACATCTGACAAATATTGTAGAGCAAGAAATTCTCACAAAAACGTGTTCATTGCCCGGACTATACAGGGTTTTTATTGTTACAAATTTAAACAGGTGATAGTATATTCAATTCTAAGACAAAAGTTTCCTATAAACATGTATCGAAAAATGCTTGGTAAGGGAGCTACACCCTCCCGAAGAGGGCTAATATGTTTTTGCTAATATTTCAGAAACCATTTAAGATAAAATTACAATATTTGGTACAGATGATAATCTTTATACACCTAAACGGATTCAAACATCAAATGTCGAAATTTTTAATCAGGGGCGTACGAAACTGGGGGAGTTTAAGGTAAAAAGATACCCTATTTATTTTGGCTTTAGTTTCTCGGTACTTTCAGCAACAAAATCTTAAGTTCGATAGTTTATCACAGAAAAGTCTCTCTTGTGTCGATACGACTTATTGTTTTTGATTAAAATTAATTTAAAATGTATGTTACACACCAATACAACATTCAAATAAATCAGAATTTACAGAATAATAAAAGCAAGAAATTCATACTTTTTAATCAAGCTCAACTAATTAACATTACATTACAGTAACAATAATAACATTAATTAAATGAATTTGCCTAAATCTAAAGGAGTTGTTCAAAGTGACTACCATGCATAACTAAAAAAACTAGAGCCAAAATAGATAGGGTATTTTTTTACCCTAAACCCTATCAGTTTTGGACGGCACTGATTAGAAATTTCGACATTTGATGTTTGCATTCGTTTAGGTGTATAAAGATTATCATCTGTACCAAATTTTCTAATTTTATCTTAAATGGTTTCTGAAATATTAGCAAAAACCTATTAGCCCCCTTTCAGAGGGTGTAGCTCCCATACCAAGCATTTTTCGATACATGTTTATAGGAAACTTTTGTCTTAGAATTGAATATCCTATCACCTGTTTAAATTTGAACGGAACACCCTGTATAGGGAAAGCTGACGAAAACTCTCTTAAAATAACCCGATTAATCCAAAAACGCTGAAAAAAATATACTTTTCTATTTAAAATAAGAAAGTTGAGATCGACTTCCGGTATAACCGGAAGTACCGCCATCTTGAAAATATTTTCATTTAGAAGGACTTAATGGTTTATGGCTATGTACCAATTTTCAAAAAAATACGATTATTCCAACTCTCAATACTTCTAATGTGGGGTTTAGACGGAACATCCTGTATTTAACACAAATAGATTTGTTCAAAGGTTGCGCAAAATTGAAGGCTTAGACACACTGAAAAAAATCGAAGTGTTGGACTTGCATGGGAATCAAATAACGCATGTTAACGGCTTGAGTTGTCTAAATGAGTTGAAAGTGTTGAACTTGGCAGGGAATCAGATTCGGTATATCGGCGTTGGTGATTTCCAAGGGCTAACATCTTTGCAAGAATTAAACTTGAGGAGAAATCGTCTTAAAAAGTTGCTCGGGTTCGGGGAAACCCCGAATTTAAGCAAACTTTTCATCAGTAATAACGATTTGCAAAGGTATTTTCCATTGTGTCCATTTATTATTAAGCAATTTTTGCAGTGTTGAGGATATAAGCAGTCTGGCAAAATCGTCGAATTTGAAGGAGATTTCCATCGATAACAATCCCGTATTTTTGGGGGGCGATTGTGTTTCATTTTTGGTTTCTTACCTCCCTCAATTGAACAAATTGAATTCGATGCAAATTACCGACCAAGTGCGGAAAGCAGCAATGGCCTGGCGACGCAATAAAGAGTCCACAAATTCGGCTTTTATGGACTTGACTAGCGATGTGTGTTTGAATGTTCGTCGAGAGGAGATTATTTCTAATGCCCGAACCAATTGGGAACTCCTCCGTTCCCAAACCAAGTGTCTAACAGCAAAAACCTCGAGTAATTTATCAAAAAATGTGAACCTGTCTTTAGATTCCGACTTGATTTTGACTTCTTTTGGAAAAACCAAAGCAAAAACTTACGCCAGTATTACAACCAAAGTGCCTCTTTTTACAAATAAGAAATTAATAAGAACCAGTTCGCAAGACACCGACAATTCGCATTCGTCATCAAACGCATCAAGTAACGAATTTATAAGACTACCCCCGATTTTGGTCCCCATTATCAAAAAAATGGAACAGAAAAGTGAAGCAAGCTCGAAAGAAAACAGCATTAAATTATCCGGAAGTCTCTCAAGCATCGGCCCGAATGTCGACAGCTCGGTTAGTTCTTTAGGAAGTGAAAATGAAACGACTGAAAGTTCCGAAACGGAAGTAGAATCCGAGCCTGAGGAACAACCAAAGCTGGAGAAAGAAGAGAAACAAGAAGAAGTGGCATCGCCTAGGTAAAATTCGACTGTTGTATTTCCTCTTATTTCATTGGTTTTCAGACCGGTTGTAACCGAAAAAGAGGAACCGAAAAATGTGTGCGTTATTGAAACCGCAAGTACCGGTTCTACGAATACTGCCCCCAGCACGTCAAGTAGCGACCAGTCGTCTAAAGTTGAAAAAACGAGGAATATCAAAAGTGCAGTAAATAGTCGGACGGTGGCGTCGAGGTGGCATAACAGGGCTGCAACTGCAAAACCGAAAAAACAATCGCCGTCGGTTATAACCGGGGGGAAGGATAGAGAGCAAGGTACAATGACAATACAAATCATTTATTTTGTTTTATTTCAACTTTGATTAGTACAATCACATAAAATACTAAAGTCTGTTTTTTTTTTAAATGGAAATGTCAAACAGTCTTAACGTTGGCATCACTAGTAAATTCATTCATGGTTATTTTAATAAAGGAAGTTGGCAGTTCCGGTTTTTTGAATTATTTCGAAAACAATGTCATTAAACGTCAACACAAAAAATCGTCTAAGAAAAGGGTGCGCCAGAACTCGAGCCCAACAGAAAAATTCTATCTATAAAAATTTCGAAATTATGGAGTTTCAATTTTGCACTTTGACTCTATTTATTTCTGTTGGAAAAATTATTTTCCAAGTTTTCTTGCTATAAGCTATTAAAAGAGGAAACAAGGAAGCTGTATCCCAAATTGTAACTCTGTTCAATGTTATTTGTGGCTTTTATTGGCAATTTTTTTACTTTTACTAAATAATTATAAAAAAACATATACAATATCATCAGTGTCATTAAATAAACATGAAAAATTGTCAAATGTAAAAAAATATGATAGAATTTTTTAAAAATTTTTTTCATGTTGCTGGTATCTTATCTTCCTTGAAATTTTTCTCTGGGACGCGAGTTCTGGCGCACCCTGTATGCATGGGCTAGGTGCCCCAGCGTTTATTTTTGTAGGTATGTCAACGATATGATCCTTTTGGCATAAAGTAGTCTTAGGAAAAATTTTAGATCGCCAACCCCTCTAATAATTGAAATAGACGGGTACCAACCCTTAACTTAATTATTTTTTTTCTCAATAACTAATAAAGATATTCGAATGCACTCAACGCACACTTGTAGAGAATTTTGAACTTTATTACATACAGGCTGTCCCAACGGTCCGAAAAAGCTCTATAACTTGTTTATTTTAAGAGATATTGACTTTTTCTTTTTTCTAGATTATAGCTGCGTTTTTGATGCACATTATAAAAATATTGCGGTTTATATACAGGTTGTCCCAATATTAAAAAAACACTAAAGTTATGTTTTTTTAAATGGAATCTACTCAGTTTGATTTTATTTTTGAATTCTACGCTAAATTACAAATAACTTTTATAGAGGTTGTTTTCATTTATCTGTTATCAATTTTGATTTGTGGCGCGTTTTTACCAGAATTTTTGAAATGCAGAGGTCTGTCTAAAAATTCGTAACTTCTAAATGCCTTGCACACAAGTTAAAGTAAGTAACGCCGTTTGATTCCTGAAGGTTTGCCGCATCTTTTAAGTGTTTACTCAACAACCTGCTCAGTGGCATGTGCCTACTGCGATTTTTTAAACATGACAAATTAAAAATGTCAAAAACTCATTTTTTTCAAATGGCACCTACTATTTATTATTGTACCAATCAAAAGATTTTTTGACAAGCTTTCCATCAATATAAGGGTTGTTTAGTCTAGTGTAAAATTCTAAGTTGCTATCCTAAATTAACTAAATTTCGATAAACCTTCCTGTTTTGAACAATAAAAATCGAGTGGGCCTTATGCAAAAAAAAAAATTAGCACAGAAAATAAACAAAAGTATGGAATTGGAAATTCTTTGCTGCAAGAAAATGTACAATATTGAGCAAAATTGAGTTACAGAGAAAATTAGACAAAATCTAACATATTGCAAACTCAGTATTAACACAATTTAGTAGAAAAATGTAAAAACAATAACAATTAAAAAAAAAACAAAACATTAAAGCTATTTTACAATTTTCTTTATAACAGATGCTCAAAAATATAACCATTTTCTTCAATACAAGTATGCAGTCTTCGTCTAGAAGATAGTCTAACACGACTTAGCATATCTGCATTTATTAAATGGAATGTATCGCGTATTCTTTGTTTCATATCCTCCGCAGTTTGTTGGTTTCGGTTTATACACATTTTTATACGATTTTTTAAATGCAACACTTTGCGGCAGTCTTGCATTTGGGTATTTTTATTTGTAGAGTCTTTGAGCCAATAAAATATTACGATCCGCTTCACCAAGACTGTATACCACGTTAATGAGTTCTTGACGAGTAAAATTCATTTTTCGACTTATAATCTTCCCAATAAAATTGACAGATCGCAACAATGACAGAAGCCCACTCGATTTTTATTGTCCAAAACAGAAAAGTTTTTCGAAATTTAGTTAATTTAGGATAGCAACTTAGAATTTTACACTGGACTATACAAACCCTATATTGATGGAAAGCTTGTCAAAAGATCTTTTGATTGGTACAATAATAAATAGAGGGTGCCATTTGAAAAAAATGAGTTTTTG